ATTATGCTGGAGAGCAGCTGCCATTGCTTAGAAATTGTATTCTTTTCCCTGTATGGCTTTTGGGACCCTACCGTGGGGGAAAAACAAGAATAGACCTACTGCCTCCAAAAAGAGCATGTCGTAGAAGTGGACAAATTGAGAGCTTACTTTAGAGTCGGAATGCATCTGCCTAGTCATGAGTGAGTAAACATACGTGTGTACAGATACAAAGTCTTGTCCTAATCTTAGTCTCAGTCATGAGTGAGTAAATATACGTGTGTGCAGAAACAACATCTGGTCCTAATCTTAGCCTCAGTCATGAGTGAGTAAATATATGTGTGTACAGACACAAAGTCTGGTCCTAATCTTAGCCTCAGTCATGAGTGAGTAAATATATGTGTGTACAGACACAAAGTCTGGTCCCAATCTTAGCCTCAGTCATGAGTGAGTAAATATACGTGTGTACAGATACAAAGTCTGGTCCTAATCTTAGCCTCAGTCATGAGTGAGTAAATATACGTGTGTTGAAAAACAACATCTGGTCCTAATCTTAGCCACAGTCATGAGTGAGTAAATGTACGTGTGTACAGATACAAAGTCTGGTCCTAGTCTTAGCCTCAGTCACGAGTGAGTAAATATACGTGTGTACAGATACAAAGTCTGGTCCTAGTCTTAGCCTCAGTCACGAGTGAGTAAATATACGTGTGTACAGATACAATATCCGGTCCTAATCTTAGCCTCAGTCATGAGTGAGTAAATATATGTGTGTACAGATACAATATCTGGTCCTAATCTTAGCCTCAGTCATGAGTGAGTAAATATACGTGTGTACAGATACAATATCTGGTCCTAATCTTAGTCTCAGTCATGAGAGAGTAAATATACCTGTGTACAGATACAATATCTGGTCCTAATCTTAGCCTCAGTCATGAGTGAGTAAATATACGTGTGTACAGATACAATATCTGGTCCTAATCTAAGCCTCAGTCATGAGTGAGTAAATATACGTGTGTACAGATACAACATTTGGTCCTAATCTTAGCCTCAGTCATGAGTGAGTAAATATACGTGTGTACAGAAACAACATCTGGTCCTAATCTTAGTCTCAGTCATGATTGAGTAAATATACGTGTGTACAGATACAAAGTCTGGTCCTAATCTTAGCCTCAGTCATGAGTGAGTAAATATACGTGTGTGCAGATACAAAGTCTTGTCCTAATCTTAGTCTCAGTCATGAGTGAGTAAATATACGTGTGTACAGATACAAAGTCTGGTCCTAATTTAGTCTCAGTCATGAGTGAGTAAATATACGTGTGTACAGATACAAAGTCTGGTCTTAATCTTAGCCTAAGTCATGAATGAGAATATATACAGAATAAAAGTAATGGATGGGCGTGTACAGGAGATAGATCAATGCTTGGACATATTGTGATGTTAGCTAGATAGTAAATAAATACAATAAAAGGCACACACACAGATACACACACACAAACACATAGACACACACAGACAGACACACACACAGACAAACACAGACGCACATACACACACACATTCACGAAGACACATACACGCAGACATACACAGACATACACAGACACACACAGACAAACACACACAGACACACGCACACAGACACACACACAAACACACACACACACACGCAGAAACACTCAAATCAGAAGAAACCTAATTGGAAAGATGAACAAATCCTGAACAGCGCTCCGGCGCAAGTGATATAAAATAAAAGGCCGTATCGCATTACAGCATGGTCGGGTATCTATTGTGGAACAACAGGTGATAGACAGACAAGAAGTGAATCAAATAAGAGACAGACAATCGCTGAATCTGATGAGGCGGTCAGAAGATAAGACGGTTGATGAAGATTTCCTTCAACACCCTGAATATTTTCACAGGAGTATCGGTTTATACCACTGGTGCAGCCATAACAGTACATAGCAGGTAGGAATGCCACTGGTACAGGCATTAAAGTACATAGCAGGTAGGAATGCCACTGGTACAGGCATTACAGTACAAAGCAGGCAGGAATGCCACCGGTACAGGCATTACAGTACATAGCAGGCAGGAATGCCACTGGTACAGTCATTACAATACATAGCAGGCAGGAATGCCACTGGTAAAGGCATTAAAGTATATAGCAGGTAGGAATGCCACTGGTACAGTCATTACAGTACATAGCAGGTAGGAATGCCACTGGTACAGTCATTACAGTACATGACAGGCAGGAATACCGCTGGTACAGTCATTACAGTTCATAACAGGTAGGAATGCCACTGGTACAGTCATTACAGTACACAGCAGGTAGGAATGCCACTGGCACAGTCATTACAGTACATAGCAGGTAGGAATGCCACTGGTGAAGTTATTACAGTACATAGCAGGTAGGAATGCCACTGGTGCAGTCATTACAGTTTATAGCAGGTAGGAATGCCACTGGTACAGTCATTACAGTACATAGCAGGTAGGAATGCCACTGGTACAGTCATTACAGTACATAACAGGCAGGAATACCAATGGTACAGTCATTACAGTACATACCAGGTAGGAATGCCACTGGTACAGCCATTACAGTACAAAGCAGACAGGAATGCCACTGGTACAGCCATTACAGTAAATAGCAGGTAGGAATTTCACTGGTACAGTCATTACAGTACAAAGCAGGCAGGAATGCCACCGGTACAGGCATTACAGTACATAGCAGGCAGGAATGCCACTGGTACAGTCATAACAGTACATAGCAGGCAGGAATGCCACTAGTAAAGGCATTACAGTATATAGCAGGTAGGAATGCCACTGGTGCAGTCATTACAGTACATAGCAGGTAGGAATGCCACTGGTACAGTCATTACAGTACATGACAGGCAGGAATACCACTGGTACAGTCATTACAGTTCATAACAGGTAGGAATGCCACTGGTACAGTCATTACAGTACATAGCAGGTAGGAATGCCACTGGTACAGCCATTACAGTACAAAGCAGGTAGGAATGCCACTGGTACAGGCATTACAGTTCATAGCAGGTAGGAATGCCACTGGTACAGCCATTACGGTACATAGCAGGTAGGAATGCCACTGGTACAGCCATTACAGTACAAAGCAGGTAGGAATGCCACTGGTACAGGCATTACAGTACATAGCAGGTAGGAATGCCACTGGTACAGCCATTACAGTACATAGCAGGTAGGACAGATGGATGAAGATAACGAAGGAAGAAAAAAGAATAAGAAGATAAAGAAGAACGAACTGACGAACGAACTTTATTTTCAAAGGATCACAAATCGGACACACAGACCCTCATACATTCGGTCCTTCTAAGCACCCTTCTTTCACACTGCAAATGTATTTTATCAATAAGCATATTATATTCACAATATAATATGCATATTATGAATATCAAGGGAAAAACACAAAAGCATGGCTTGGTAAAATGCATACACACTCTATCACACGCGCACAACACACATACGTCCACCTACTAACTTAAACACGCATTTTTACACACAAACACACACACACACATACATCCACACACACACACACACATAAACACACCCCTCATTCACCAACACACATACATACCCACCCACACATACACGCACACTTCACACACTTTCATACTTACAGACAGATACACACATGCACACATAGATACACACCCACAGAAACAAACGTAGACACACTCACAAACTCACACACACACACAGAGATAAACACACAGTCACCTAACATGCAGACACACAGACACACACAAGCAGACACACACATATACATGCACAAGAAGCAGCACAAACGCAGCAATACACACTAACACACACGCACACACAGACACACTCGCAGACACACACTCACACACATACGCTGTTGCTCATCCAGACAAATATACACACAGAAACACACGCACAGACACACACAGACGCATACGCAAACATACATACACACATGCACACACACACATATACATACACACACCCACTGACACATAAACGCAGACACATACGCAGACATACATACACACAGGCACAGTCACACAGACACACGTAGATACACACGCAGACACACAGACAAACACGCGGACACACATACACACACACGCGGACACACCCAGAGACAATATACAGGGAGACACATACACAGACAAAGACACACAGACATACACACACTGACACACACAAAGACATACACAGATATAGACGCACAGGGACGCACTTATACACCGACACTCACGCAGACACACAAACCCACAAGCACATACACAGCAAAGACACACACAGCCACACACACGTAAAACACACAGACACGCACAGACATATGGAGACGCATACACTCAGAAACACAAGAAGAAGAAGAATAAGAAGGAGACGAAGAATAGGAAGAAAATAAGGAGTATATGGGAAGAAGAGGAAGAGAACAGAGCAGGAGAAGATAAGAAAAAATAAAGAAGAAGGAAGCACTGAGAGAGGATTAGAATAATAATCATAATAATAATAATATAAGAAGGAGAAGAAGAAAAAGGAGAAGCTGAGGAATAAGCAGAATTAGCAGCAGCAGCAGAAAAAGAGGAAGAAGAAGAAAAAGAAGAAAACGAAGAAAGAAGAAGAAGAAGAAGAAGAAGAAGAAGAAGAAGAAGAAGAAGAAGAAGAAGAAGAAGAAGAAGAAAAAGAAGAAGAAGAAGAAGAAGAAGAAGAAGAAGAAGAAGAAGAAGAAGAAGAAGAAGAAGAAGAAGAAGAAGAAAAGAAGAAGAAGAAGAAGAAGAGAAGAAAAGAAGAAGAAGAAGAAGGAGAAGAAGAAGAAGAAGAAGAAGAAGAAGAAGAAGAAGAAGAAGAAGAAGAAGAAGAAGAAGAAGAAGAAGAAGAAGAAGAAGAAGAAGAAGAAGGAGAAGAAGAAGAACAAAAAAAAAAAAAAAAAAGAAGAAATGAAACTAATGACACTAGTAAAAGAACTTGACCCTAAAGTCAAACTGTGTCCCCTGGTACTAAACGATGGATTGAATAAGCATGTCTCACCTGGCATTCATCAGGCAGTAAATGATTGGATTGTACATGGAGTTGGACATGGCTAGCCAGTAAATGAGCAAGTACACCTGCTGGATGTAGGGCCATAAGGCGATGTCCTTGTGCACGTTGACCAGGATGAAGTAGACGTGAGTGGGAAGCCAACAGACTCCAAAGATGACCACTACAGCAATCATCATCTTCACCACCTGAGACAAAGAAAACAACAATTTAACATTCTGTTCTGCAAGTGATGGGTCAATGGATAAATGTGTCAATAGGTCAATGGATTAATGTGTCAATGGATTAATGGGTCGATGGATCAATGGATTAATGTGTCAGTGATGATAGACACTCTAGAGTATACCGCTCTTACCCGTGTTGTCTTAACTACTTTATCATGTGAGAACTATTCTACTACAGTCGCTGGCATGTTTTTCTTTCCACATGGTAATTTTCCACTGTGCTCTACGGAGACATGACAGTCAGAGCTCTTAACGATGATGAGTGTAACGTAACTAATTAAGTCCAGCTTGCGTTGACAGTCATTGTCCTTCTCAGTAAGTGCATGAGATTTCCGGATCACTATTGCCATCACCTGAATTAGACATGTGTCGTTTTAAGCTGTTGACCTGCCTGGAGCCCCTTTGTCGTTTGTCGATATTCCCTTCCTAATCGTCTCCTTCATGAAAAGAGATCAGTGGCAACCTGTTTCCACGATTCCACATCAATATCTGTCTCATTCATGTCCCGATGGCACATATTTTTTTAAAAATCGCAGTAGAGACCAAAACCGATGTCCTCTTCGCATCTGTAATTCCCCTTAGTGGATTTCCTTTGGGAGTCAGCACCCCACCTCTGTCCACTCTCCAAGTGTGTCCTAGCCTTCCGATACAAGACTACAAGAAATAAATAAACAGTATTGCTTGGTGATGACTGGCGAAGAGAGAAAAGTAGGTACTGGAGCACATTAAGGTGACGCGGAAGCTCAGCTGTAGACAAGGCGCAAGCAACCTGAGAGAAATGGGGCTTTCTATATGTTCTAGCAATGGAACCTGGAGAAATGGTGCTTTCTATGAGTTCTAGCATTGGAACCTAAAGAAATTGTGCTTTCGATAAGTTCTAGCGTTGGAACCTGGAGAAATTGTTCTTTCTATAAGTTCTAGCAATTGAACCTGGAGAAATTGTGCTTTCTATAAGTTCTAGCATTGGAACCTGGAGAAATTGTGCTTTCTATAAGTTCTAGCATTGGAACCTGGAGAAATTGTGCTTTCTTTAAGTTCTAGCAATGGAACCTGGAGAAATAACAGCGATATCAATTGATATATATATAATCCATATATAATTGATCTAAGGGACCCAAACAGCCTTGAAAAAGTCAACAGTTTCACTTATCTAGGGAGCAAGATGTCATCTACAGGAGATACCGCACCAGAAATATCATTTAGAATAGCACTGGCATCTAGTGCCTTCAATAAACTGTCTAACATCTGGAAATCAAAGACACTTAGCAAACACACAAAACTCAAGATCTTCAATTCTTGTGTGATTCCAGTACTAACCTATGGATGCGAGAGTTGGAAATCAACGAAAACTCTAGACACAAAATTAGACAGTTTGAAAAATAAATGCCTTAGAAGAATACTAAATTTCAAATGGTCAGATTTCCGAACCAATACACAAATAAGGCAAGAATCCAGGCAAGAGTATGTGTCTAATTTTATACGAAAACGCCGCTGGAACTATGTCGGCCACGTCCTTAGAATGGATAAATCAAGACTTCCTTACCAAGCCCTCATTTGGACACCACAGGGGAAAAGATCTCGTGGAAGACCAAGGGAAACCCTACGTAGAACTATCATCAGGGAAGGCTCGCTCATGGGCCACTCAAACATCCAAGACCTACAACGGATTGCAACGGACCGCCGTGCATGGAGAGTCACGACCTCTGCCCTATGTGCCGCACTCGACACAAGAGGAAAGACTAACTAACTAACTAAGGGACCCAAAATATGATTAATCATTCTGCATCAAGGATTGAATAGCATCGGTTTAAGTGACAGAACATCGTCAGTACAACAGATCGAATGGCACCATTATAATTAATAGGATGTCAACAATATAATTGAAAGAATATCACCATTGTAACTGATAGTATATCGTCAAAACAACTGATAAAATAACACCATTATAATAAAAAATATATCATCATTATAACTGATCCAGAAATAGCTGTGACCGAGATTGGCAGAGAGGAATGAAACACACGCCCCATTTGCAAGGACTCGTGACGATTGCAGTGACGTGGGTATCTGCGAGAAGAGAGGAATGCATACATTTCAGTGGAGACACAGCGATGGTAGAATCACAGGGCAACAACAGCACATACTGGTAGATGAACTGGCAAATGAGAAGCTGAGAGATCAAAGATGACAATTAACAATTAGGAAAACTAATAACAGATTGTTTATGGATCTTTATGGGAATCAGATGTCTGAGATGAGCTGCAGAAATGACCAGAATATATCAAATCAGGAATGTCTAAGAGAAGTGGTCGGAACAGAAACAGTTCTAAAATACATACAAATACAGCAAATCAAATGGTTTGTCCGTTTAGAAAAAATGAGACGTCATTCAAGGCATACACCAAAAGTGGAAGTGGACAAAAAGCACAAGGTAGACCAAGAACCAGATGGAAAGATCACATTAGATGAACTCTACATCGCCAGGAGATGTAAACGGTTGAGGCAGGCAGAAAAGCAAGTAGAAAATGCTGTCCCATCGACACCTCAAGCACGAAGAGATGGAGTGAAGAAAAAGAAGAAGAATGGCATGTTGTGGATGGTCAGCCATGATCTGCCGTGAAGATACACGTCCCAGCCAGGTTGTGGATGTTCAGTCACGATCTGCTGTGAAGATACACGTCCCAGCCAGGTTGTGGATGGTCAGTCACGATCTGCTGTGAAGATACACGTCCCAGCCAGGTTGTGGATGGTCAGCCATGATCTGCCGTGAAGATACACGTCCCAGCCAGGTTGTGGATGGTCAGCCATGATCTGCCGTGAAGATACACGTCCCAGCCAGGTTGTGGATGGTCAGCCATGATCTGCCGTGAAGATACACGTCCCAACCAGGTAGGCTAACATAGACACGAACTCACTTTTCTTTTACTGCGGACTCGCTCGGCCTGCATGGAAACGGCCTCGCCAATAGCCTGACTACCCCAGAGTTCCCAGCCAATGCGCACGTAGGTGGCGAAGAGCGTGGTCATCGGCAGGAAGTAGTTGAGCACCATCAGCAGGATACTGTAACTGAGGAGTGGACAATGGTCAAGATGAGAAGATGGCCAGCATGTCTAGTTTAACCAGTCACAGCTGCACTAGACATGTGTCTACATATTTACCCCATTTAAAGAAAGACGCTTCTGTGAGCTGCAGCTCGTTAAATACAGTAACACACACGTGGATAAAAATCACAGATCTGTCTGTCAAAGTCGCGAGGTGTGATCAGTTCGCATGTGTAAGCATTAGCAGCTAATGATTACACTGGAGAGGGTATATAGTGTTATTTTCATCGTCGCGTCGCATTTGAGAGTATGCGTGCGCAGCTATCTTTAAATTATAGTACTTGGAACTGGTAGCTTTCAGCAGTTACTGATTCTGCATAAGTGGTGTAGGCATGCAGGGAGCATTCTTATCCCGATGTGCGTAACGTAAACCGAGTGATGTATTTGTAAAAATTACAACACAGTTATAATAAATAGTTCAAGTAATGCACGTTTATTTAGCCATAGTTTAGGCTGCGAGTACAGTCTTTACATGTACGTCTAGCCACCTGTCTGTCTGTCTGTCTCTCTGTCTCTCTGTCAGCTGCCTGTCTGTCTTTCTGTCTGCTGCTTACCTGTCTTTCTCTGTCCGCTGCCTGTCTGTCTCTCTCTGCTGCCTGTCTGTCTCTCTTTGTCTGCTGCATGTCTGTCTCTCTCGCTGTCTGCTGCCTGTCTGTCTCTCCCTGTCTACTGCCCGTCTGTCTCTCTCTGTCTGCTGCCTGCCTGTCTCTCTCTGTCTACTGCCAGTCTGTCTCTCTCTACTGCCTGTCTGTCTCTCTGTCTGCTGTCTGTCTGTCTCTCTGTCTGCTGCCTGCCTGTCTCTGCCTGCTGCCTATTTGTCTCTCTCTGTCTGCTGCCTGTCTGTCTCTCACTGTCTGCTGCCTGTCCGTCTCTCTCTGTCTGCTGCGTGTCTGTCTATCTCTGTATGATGCCTGTCTGTCTCTATCTGTCTAATGCCTGTCTGTCTCTTTCTGTCTGCTGCCTGTCTGTCTCTCATTGTCTACTGCCTGTCTGTCTCTCCCTGTCTGCTGCCCCTGACTGTCTCCCTCTGTCTGCTGCTTGTCTCTCTCTGTCTCTTTCTGCTGTGTGTCTGTCTATCCCTGTCTGTTTTTCTCTGTCTGCTGCCTGTCTGTCTCTTTGTCTGCTGCCTTCTGTCTCTCTCTGTCTGTTGCCTGTCTGTTTCTCTCTGTCTGCTGCCTGTCTGTCTGTTTCTCTCTGTCTGCTGTCTGTCCCTCTCTCTGTCTGCTGCCTGTCTGTTTCTCTCTGTCTGTTGCCTGTATGTCTCTCTCTGACTGCTGCCTGTCTCTCTCTCTCTCTCTGACTGCTGCCTGTTTCTCTCTGTCTGTTACATTTCTGTCTCTCTCTGTCTGTTGCCTGTCTGTATCTCTCTGTCTGTTGCCTGTCTGTTTCTCTCTGTCTGTTGCCTGTCTGTCTGTTTCTCTCTGCTGTCTGTCTCTCTGTGTCTGTTGCATGTCTGTCTCTCTCTCTGTCTGTTGCCTGTCTGTCTCTCTCTGTCTGTTGTCTGTCTGTTTCTGTCTGTCTGTTGCCTGTCTGTCTCTCTCTGTATGTTGTCTGTCTGTCTCTCTCTGACTGCTGCCTGCCTGTCTCTTTGTGTCTGCTACCTGTCTGTTTCTGCCTATCTACTGCCTGTCTGTTTCTCTGTGTCTGCTGTCTGTCTGTTTCTCTCTGCTGCCTGTCTGTTGTTCTCTGTCTGTTGCCTGTCGGTTTATCTCTGCTACCTGTCTGTTTTTCTCGGCTGCCTATCTGTTTCTCTCTGTCTGTTGCCTGTCTGCTTCTCTCTCTCTGCTGCCTGCCTGTGACTCTCTCTCTCTCTCTCTCTGCTGCCTGACTGTTTCTCTCTGCTGCCTGTCTGTCTTCAGGTATTTATAAAATAATTGGCAGAGCAAAAATCTACCTTAAACAGACAAAGAAAGACAGAAAAATGAGCTTTCAAGAACCACAACTACTTACGCCAAGTCCTGCTTGCTTCCCTCCCCTTCGACGCTGTCCGGCCAGTGGAGGTAGCACAGAGTCCGCTCGGGATACTGGTACAGGGTGGCATACATAAGGTTGGGCAGTGCAAGCAGGAAGGATACTACCCAGATGATGGTGATGATGGTCAGCACGATCCGACCGGTCAGTCTTGGACGTAGTGGATGAACTATGGCGATATATCTGGAGAATAGAAGACACACGAGTCTCTTCAGGATGGAGCAACACAACATACCGGTTAAAGACATTACCGTATAGCTTCTACGCAGAACATCGTTCTTTTAAACGTTACCGGAAAACTGTCTCCGTGTCCCCCGTCTTGTGGGTCGACCTATGCCTCTTCTGCAAGGGCCCATGCCTTACACAACTTCTCCGTGTCCACCTCTTCTGCAAGGGCCCATGCCTTACACAACTTCTCCGTGACCACCTCTTCTGCAAGGGCCCATGCCTTACACAACTTCTCCGTGACCACCTCTTCTGCAAGGGTCCATGTCTTACACAACTTCTCCGTGACCACCTCTTCTGCAAGGGTCCATGCCTTACACAACTTCTCCGTGACCACCTCTTCTGCAAGGGTCCATGCCTTACACAACTTCTCCGTGTCCACCTCTTCTGCAAGGGGCCATGCCTTACACAACTTCTCCGTGTCCACCTCTTCTGCAAGGGTCCATGCCTTACACAACTATTTGTCTACGTTGCATTGACATTACATATTGAGATTATAAATCTGAATAACTGGGTCTCGCCAGGTGATCGTTGGCATCCCGATGGTTTAATAAGACTACACAGTTTCTTCTTTTTGATTGTCGTGCTCTGTATTTCCCACAGCCGATAGCTTCAGTACTTGAATGATCTTTTAAGCATTAAAAAACAACCTGGCCAGGCATGGCATCCATATTCGCAGGTAAGTATACTCGGTTTTGTTTCACTGACCATTCGATGCCGGCTAGTCAGATCAAAGCTACAAAAGACATTATATGACAGGCTATGTATGAGACAGGCTATGTATGAGGCAGGCTATGTAAGAGCAGGCTATGTATGAGACAGGCTATGTATGAGGCAGGCTATGTATGAGGCAGGCTATATATGAGGCAGGCTATGTATGAGACAGGCTATATATGAGGCAGGCTATGTATGAGACAGTCTATGTATGAGGAAGGCTATGTATGAGGCAGGCTATGTATGAGGCAGGCTAATATGAGACAGGCTATGTATGAGACAGGCCATGTATGAGACAGGCTATGTATGAGACAGGCTATGTATGAGGCAGGCTATATATGAGGCAGGCTATATATGAGGCAGGCTATGTATGAGGCAGGCTATGTATGAGACAGGCTATGTATGAGGCAGGTTATATATGAGACAGGCTATGTATGAGACAAGCTATGTATGAGACAGGCTATATATGAGGCAGGCTATGTATGAGACAGGCTATGTATGAGGCAGGCTATGTAAGAGACAGGCTATGTATGAGACAGGCTATGTATGAGGCAGGCTATGTATGAGGCAGGCTATATATGAGGCAGGCTATGTATGAGACAGGCTATATATGAGGCAGGCTATGTATGAGACAGTCTATGTATGAGGAAGGCTATGTATGAGGCAGGCTATGTATGAGGCAGGCTAATATGAGACAGGCTATGTATGAGACAGGCCATGTATGAGACAGGCTATGTATGAGACAGGCTATGTATGAGGCAGGCTATATATGAGGCAGGCTATATATGAGGCAGGCTATGTATGAGGCAGGCTATGTATGAGACAGGCTATGTATGAGGCAGGTTATATATGAGACAGGCTATGTATGAGACAAGCTATGTATGAGACAGGCTATATATGAGGCAGGCTATGTATGAGACAGGCTATGTATGAGGCAGGCTATGTAAGAGACAGGCTATGTATGAGACAGGCTATGTATGAGGCAGGCTATGTATGAGGCAGGCTATATATGAGGCAGGCTATGTATGAGACAGGCTATATATGAGGCAGGCTATGTATGAGACAGTCTATGTATGAGGAAGGCTATGTATGAGGCAGGCTATGAATGAGGCAGGCTTATATGAGACAGGCTATGTATGAGACAGGCCATGTATGAGACAGGCTATGTATGAGACAGGCTATGTATGAGGCAGGCTATATATGAGGCAGGCTATATATGAGGCAGGCTATGTATGAGGCAGGCTATGTATGAGACAGGCTATGTATGAGGCAGGTTATATATGAGACAGGCTATGTATGAGACAGGCTATGTATGAGGCAGGCTATGTATGAGGCAGGCTATGTATGAGACAGGCTATGTATGAGGCAGGCTATGTATGAGACAGGCTATGTATGAGGCAGGCTATGCATGAGGCAGGCTAAGTATGAGGCAGGCTATGTATGAGACAGGCTATGTATGAGACAAGCTATGTATGAGACAGGCTATATATGAGGCAGGCTATGTATGAGACAGGCTATGTATGAGACAGGCTAATATGAGACAGGCTATAAAGGAGACAGGCCATGTATGAGACAGGCTATGTATGAGACAGGTTATATATAAGACAGGCTATGTATGAGACAGGCTATATATGAGACAGGCTATATATGAGACAGGCTATGTATGAGACAGGCTTTATATGAGACAGGTTATGTATGAGACAGGCTATGTATGAGACAGGCAATGTATGAGGCAGGCTATGTATGAGGCAAGCTATGTATGAGACAGGCTATGTATGAGGCAGGCTAATATTAGACAGGCTATTAATGAGGCAGGCTATGTATGAGACAGGCTATGTATGAGACATGCTATGTATGAGACAGGCTATGTATGAGACAGACTATGTAAGAGACAGGCTATGAATGAGGCAGGCTATGCATTAGACAGGCTATGTATGAGGCAGGCTATGTATGAGACAGGCTATGTATGAGGCAGGCTATGTATGAGGCAGGCTATGTATGAGGCAGGCTATGTATGAGACAGGCTATGTATGAAACAGGCTATGTAAGAGACAG